TCCTCTAGCAACCTGCTCACTCCAAACATCTGCAGGCCTGTCCTGTCCAAGTCCTGTTTATCCCTCTCTTGTCCTGACCTTTTTCTGATGATTTAAAATGGTCTTTTCGACTGTTAGTTTAGCATGCTCTGAGAACAAGGAGATAAAATACACAGGACAAACTATTTCTGTCATCAGAATAACTAAATCCTTGAATATCTAAAAATCCATATATTTTTATTTCCCCTTAGTCCCCACTTTTTTTGGTGAAATTTGTCAAAAACTTGAGTAAAATCCTCAATTGTCTATAGCCATAAATTTGAAAATAACCTATTACATAACAATGAAACAATTTTCACTTTCACTTTGCAGTATAAATACTATTCCTGGAGCTGGCAACACAGATTAGTAGTAAAGCACTTCCCTGGGACATTTCAGACTCTTGGGTCAAAGCTTGCACAATAAAAACTACATTACTTTTAAGAAATGAAAACAGTTTTTAGTCAGGGACATAAAACATGTTATTAATGTTAGTACTGCAGTTTTCTGTACTGTTGAAAGCAGCCTAATGAGCTGATTTCAGAATCATTTCCATGGGCAGCATCATTACCACCCTTGGGCACTGAGTTCATTGCATAAGGCTTAGTAAGCTGTAAGTCAGGAGTCTCCACTTAACTGTGCTTCTTGACCTCCTTAAGGATGCCTTCATTTTCTCACAAACTTTGACAGTTCAAATGCTGGTTTAATGGACACTTAGGCCCTTGTGTGCTTCCTCCTTTCTTTTCCTATACAAGGAGAAGAAGGTGGACTAATAAACATAGGAGTTATACACTGTTGTCTTTTCTAACATCTTCTTGGCCTAGGTCTAGCAAGTTAGGAAACAGGGAGTGCAGTCTTCAGTGAGAGTGTGCAACATGCAGTTGCATGCCCTGTGGCTGCCATGAGGACCATCCTCCAGCAGCACAGGGCTTGAGAGGGAGCCTACGGAGTCCACGGACCTGGACTTTTTTTTTTTTTTAAGATTTATATATTTACTATGTATACAATGTTCTGCCTGCATGTACACCTGCACACCAGAAGAGGGCACCAGATCTCATTACGGTTGGTTGTGAGCTACCATGTGGTTGCTGGGAATTGAACTCAGGACCTCTGGAAGTGCAGAACAGCTGAGCCATCTTTCCAGAACTTTTCTATCTGAGGGAGTAAAACTTAATTCTCTAAGGCCGGCCGGTGGGGGCTAAAATTAACTCTAGGGCCTGCAAGAGAGGGAAATCTCTCTCTCTCTCTCTCTCTCTCTCTCTCTCTCTCTCTCTCTCTCTCTCT